AACCAAAACCAAAGTATTTCTGGTTTGGAATTGCTACCTTTGTTCAAAAAAGCAGGAAACATTCCCGTTACCTCTGACCAATAAAGATAATCATCAGCTGCAAACAAAGAGAAAAATAAAATGCCTCAAGCCTTTGTATGATCTGCCAGCTCAGACATCCGTTTCTGAGAGCTGTGTCACGAGGTGGCCTTGGAAGGTCCTGTTGTGCTCGGTGACACACAAACACAAAGGACAGTGATGCCCACCAAGTCCCTTTATGGCCTTTATCGCTAGATCTTGCTCTGTAATCCATACATGAATATAAACTGTTAAATCGACATGTTTTCTGCTTGTCCCACTCAGCCTGAAACCAATTGTGTTGTACCCTGAATCCCCACCAAACCTAGCAGCCACTGGGTCCAGAGCGGCTGCACCAACAGTGACGAAACAGCTGTCACTGGTTTGTGGCTCTCCCTGCTCAACTCAGAGACCTGGATCCACTGCAAGAACCTCTTCAAAGTGTGGTTGTCCCCAGCAGCTTCTCACGTGGGCTCACGCGGAGTGCGCTCCGGCCGCGCCCCGCTGTGCGATCTCGAGGCTCCTGCAGTGTCCACAGCAGAACCCAAATGGTCGAATTTCAAATCCTGGCTGTGGGATTCACCACCTGCATAACCTTGGGTGAGATACTGAACTCTGCCCCTCAGTTTCCTTATCAGTAAAATGGGCAAAATAGTATTTATTTCATAGGGTTGCTGTGAGCATTAAGTGAATTAATATAACGTAGTGCCCTGAATGGTGCCCAGCACACAGTAAGTACCCCCTGCCTGTTAACTACTATTTTTATTACTGGCCAGTGCCTCTGCTCAGCTTCTGAGCGGCCATGTGCTGTCTGTCCATAGGTTCCTAGCAGCACATGAAAAAAATCTTCATTTTACATATGGATTAAAAAGACAGAATAAAACCCCGCGCGATGTTTCACAGACTTTAGTTTTATCCCAGCAAGCTGCTTGGGTGAAGTTCTTAACGCAGCTTCCCCGGGAGGCATTTTTCCAAGACTAGACCTCATCTCTTACAGAACCAGTTGGAATCAAATCTCAGCCTTCAAAATTCTAGAGCCGTGAATGGCTCTTACCCTCCAGGAGCTTTCAGAGCTGGGAGTTTTAAAGCAAGATGCCTAGGCTATACCCCAAGCCAATTAAATCAGGATCCCGCAGGTGGGACTCAGGCATGTGTTTCTTTTAAAGGTCCCAGGTGATTCCGGGGTGCAGCTGCGCCTGAGGACTGCCTACGCCCAAACCAAACGTCATGACAATAATAGATCTCAGGTGGTAGCTAATGTGTGGTCCTATGTAAAGACATAGGCAGATTTTAATAAACTAATAACACTGGGGACAATAAAGTTCAGGAAGGGGGCCCCTAAGATGTCAAAGCTCCATGGTATCCTTTTACTTTTTGGGAAGACACTTGGTTTGGGGGATTCCCAGGTAATACTGCTTGTGTTCTTGTAATTTACAGTTCCTTCCTGTCGGAAAAAAATCCCATCCTGCTCTCAATGCGAACTCCACGCAGAGATGGACAGAAGCACATCAGAGCTTCAGAGCTGAGGCCCGGCCCCAGAGTCTTTCAATGTCTCTCGGAGGAGAACTGATATAGACGGGGAAATACCCAACCCCAGCACACGCTGAAGGTGAGGCGGGAAGCCCGCCCTGAAGCATAGTGCAGGAGGCTACGGAGAGTCTGTGAAGAGGAGGGGGCATCCCCAGAAGAGGCCATTAGGGAGGAATGGGAGGTGGGAAAGGTCCTTAACCCCACCGTGGTTCTGTTTCTTCAAATATCAAATGTCCTTAAACCTCCATGGTCACTGTGAAGTTTAAGTGAGTTAGTGTAGTGCATTAAAGTAGAGGGTGCTTGGCCCTGAGAAAGCCCTCACAGGGTTAGCTCTACTTACTATTATCATCCGTATAATTATTAAGCAGGTTTCTGGTATATTAATAAAAATGTATTTTTTAAAAGGAAAAATATTTAGTTAAACACTCCTAGAGCGGGGTTTCAAATACAGTTGACTCTTGAACAGCAAGTGTGGGGTGAGGGGTGCCAACCCACCCCCACCTCACAGTTGAAAATCCGGGTGTAATTTAAGTCGGCCCTCTGAATACTGGGATTCCCAACCTCACATCCAAAATACAGTTGACCCTTGAGCAACGGTCTGATCAGGATGTTCTGCTTTGCTGTCCTGAAGACTCAGATCCCTGAGCCTACCTGATTAGCCTCTGCTCCTTGGGACACTCAGGGACACTCCGGGACACTCCTGGCCTCGGTATAGAGCGGTCCTCCAGATCAGGGGTGGCCCGCAGAGGGGAAAAGCCCTAAGGCCCATTGACCCTGGACTGAAAATCCCTTTGAAGTGAGTGTAGTTATTAAACACAATTTCATAGAGGGAAAAAAGTCAGTTTACGAGTCCACGAACATGCTCAAGGCCCCGTAACTAGATGCCACTGAGCTGGGATATGAATTACTGTGCCATTTTCTTAGCCACTAGATTTTACCACCTCCCCTAACTAAAAGCTCTAAGTCTCAATCCATTTTCTGTAAAACCAGAACTGTCAACAGTTCCTTGCTCAGGTATGGGGGAAATGGCCAATGGCATAATGCCTGGCACACACTAAGCATCAGGAAAGAATGGGTGTTCAGCAAGCGTTTGTTCTTTTGCCCTAGTCTCAGATTCCCATTTCAGGCACTCAGCTCTCACTCAGCCATGACTTGGATTTTAAAGAACTTTCAGTGACTCTGATTAGATCCACTCTCTGGTCCTATTTTGTCACTGTTGGATTTTGCCCTCCCTCCCTTCCTTCCTTCCCCCTCATCCAAGGACATGCTCATTGATTTTAGAGAGTGGGGAAAGGAGGAAGAGAAATATTGATGTGAAAGAAACATCAATCAGTTGCCTCTCACACGCAATGTGCCTAGGCCAGGGTGGAACCCACAACCTAGGCATGTGCCCTGACTGGGAATCGAGCCTGTGACCTTTTGGTTTATAGGACGACCCTTCAACCAACTGAGCCACATGGGCCAGGGCTGGATGTTGCTCTTAGTGTTGACCTGGAAGAGTCATACAGGGATGAAAGGACAGGAGGAAGCAGAGAGATAGCCTAGTGTCTTCCTTGTGACGGATAAATGTGGTGACCACTGTTTCCCTCCTCCTCCCCTCTACCACTGTGGCCCTGGCAAGGTGGGAGGGATTCTGTCCTGATTTAGCTAAAATAAGAGAATTAGGAAGATTACTTTCCACAGCAACTAAAAATGAGAGACTGTTGAAAGAACTTGGGATGATGAGTCCACAGAACAAAGGATTTATGTGAACCCAGCCAGCTGGGTGCTGGCACCCATTTAAAACCAGGGGTTCTTGGGGATCAAGAGAGGCCCAAGCCACTTCCATTGAATGAGGTTCCTGGTGTATTAATGAATAAAAATGTATTTTTTAAAAGGAAGACTATTTAGTAGTTAAAAAATACTGCCCTGGCTGGAGCTGCTGAGTAGATTGAGTGCCGTTCTCGGAGCTGAAAAGTTGCTGGTTCTATTCCCTGTCAGGGCACATGCCTGGGTTGTGGGTCAGGTCCCCAGCTGGGGGAGTGCAAGAGGCAACCAATCACTGTTTCTCTAGCACATTGGTGTTTCTCTCTCTCTTTCTCTCTCCTGCCTTCCCCTCTCTCTAAAAACATATAAATCTTAAAAAAAAAAAAAAAATACTAGGGCGGGGTTACAAATACAGTTGACTCTTGAACAGCAAGCATGGGGTTAAGGGGTGCCAACCTACCCGACCTCACCGTTGAAAATCCGGGTGTCATTTAAGTCAATCCTCTGAATACTGGGATTCCCAACCTCACATCCAAAATACAGTTGACTCTTGAACAAGGTGGGTTCGAACTGCATTGGTCCACTTACACGTGGATTTTAAACAACCTTAAGTGTTACATTTAACAAATGTTAACACAAAATACTGTGATAGTCACAGAAAAATTACTAGATATATGTTTTTTTTGTTTTTTGTTTTTAAATCTTAATTCCTATTGCACTCCAGGTAGTGTTGGCAAGTAATGTGAAACAAAATTTTTTCAACTCTGTCAAGGTACTTAAAGACAATGTCAACATTTATTGTTTGAGGGTGGGTCTCAATGTGATTTTCTGTCTTTGATGGTAGACCCATCGTCAGGGAGACTGGACATTTTTCAAGCCACCGAGATCAGAACAGGGCCCTGGAGCGTACACTTGGAGAAGACCAGTTCTCTTCCGCGGTGCACCCTAGACCACTAACCCTCCAGCAAACAGTCCAACCCTGAGATTTGGGGGCAGAACAGAAAGTAGTGAATTACTCGTTTAGCATATATTTAGGATATCCATGGAGCAGGAGCAACGATTTTTAACTTGTGTGGGTTCAAGGAACCCTCTGAAAATCTGATAAAAACCCTGGACCTTCTTCCCGGAAGAGTTCTCTCCACCCACTCACCTACGCAGCATTTCCCCCCAAGGAGTCCCCAGGCTCCAGGGTTGAAGCCTCTGGCCGAAGGAAGGCTCTGGCACTCTCTAGGTTGTCTCTGCCCTGAACTCCGTCCCTGGCTCTGCCTGGCACGTGACAGCCCCGCACCGGGTGCAGGATGCCTGCGAGGTGGGGGAGCGAGGGGTACGGTGCTCGGCTGTTGGCCACAGACATGCTCCACCTTCCACGGGTCCAGGGACCCGAGCCGCGCAGCCAGGATGGGGCGGGGACCAGGAGGAAGCACCGCCCAGCCCCCAGCCCCACCTGCGAACGCCGGGGGCAAGGGGTTAGCGACAGCAAGGCCCCGCCCGGGACGGTGTGGCCACCCCGGGTGCGCCCACGGATCCAGGGCTCAGAGCCTAGGACCGCGTCGCCGCACGTCGGGCTCCGGCGCTGTTGGCGGAGCCCGGGCTTGCGGACTGTGCCAGCGCCGCAGGTCAGGCTTCTACGAGGCAATCCCGATCGGGACTCGAGGACCGCGCCTCCGCCGCCACGCGAGCCATGAAAATGCACTTCTGCATCCCGGTGTCCCAGCAGCGGCCAGACGCGCTGGGGGGCCGCTACACGGTGCGCCAGGGGCCGGGTTCCCACCGGGCAGGGAGGAGGCAGTACCGTGGCGGGGGCTAATCCGGGACCGGATCTCTCTGCGTTTGCAGCTGTACTCGGTGTACCTGGACGGGTTCCTCTTCTGCAGGGTGCGCTACAGCCAGCTGCATCGCTGGAACGAACAGGTGAGCGGGTCCGAGGCGGGTACCAGCTCGTCCACTGGACGCACGTGAGGAAAAGTGCGCCCAGTGCGTCCTGGGCGCGTGACTCTGGCAAGATCCCGGGCCCTTAGAGGGCTTCAGGCTCCAAATCATGGAGACAGCGTCGTGGTAAGGATCATTGTGTGAATTACTTGGCACAGAACTCAATGAATACACGTTGCCGCTCCTAATCATCTGCAGCTAGGAGATGAGGGAGTGCGGGTGATTCTTCCAAGCCCTTTCCAGCCCAGGGACCCCCTCCCCGCCCTCACAGCCCCACCTGGCAGGGCCATTTTACAGCCAGCTTTTCCCCAGGACAACGTCCCTATTCAAAATGAGCAAACCAAGTCTAGACCAAGGCGTAGTCTCAGGAATCGTGCACAAGGGCATTTAATATCCTTCCTCGCAGGGTTTCTTAAGTTTACCCTCCCTCCCCTTTAAAAAGGTGTGTCTGTATTTTTGTTTTCTACCGACTGTATTCATAGGCTTTAAGTAGTGGCAGGCTTGGACACCCAGGAAACAGATGACAATATCAAGGCAGGATGCCATTTCCCACTATAGTTTCTCACTCTGATGTCCTGATGGCATTTTCTCTAGGTTGCAGGCTGGTTTATTAGCTTGTTCTAATGTTTTTGGGTTGTTTTTTTTTTTCCTGTCCTAGTAAGGAAATGTTGCAAGTCTTCAAAATAAGTTAGAGGCGTAAAGTTTAGAAATAAACTTCATCATTTCCTCAGCCCTTTCCCAAACACAATTTTTTTCTTTTTGTTTATTTATATTTTAGATTTTATATTCTGATCATAAAGAGGAAAGGAAAGGAAAGAAAAAAAGAAAAGAAAAGTAAAAGAGACTCTTGTCCAGGCAGCCGCTATTCACATTTTGGGCAGAGCCCTTTCAGACAACCTCTAGGTTTCTAGTGAGTAGATCCACCATGTTTCCTTTAACCGTCTTCTGTTGGTGGGCAGCTCAGTTCCGTTTTTCTATGGAAAACCTCACAGCAGCCAGCCTTCTTGCTCATACATCATATGTATTTGAAAAAGTTCATTTTCAAGGTATGATTAAGTATCTTTGAAAATCAACACAAACCAGTCACAACATTCATTTGTGTGGTCATCTTTGAATTGTGAGCCCCCGGTACGGAGCCTGCCACCCAGCTGGTGCTCAGCAATGGTTGTCAGGTGGCTGGATGAGGAAGGGCATGGGCTTGGACCTCGGAAAGATGGGAAGCTACCTGTGACCAAAACATGTTTTTGGAAAGTTGGGAGGACTGCAGATGGAGATCCCGAAGGAAAAGAAAGGTGTTTTAAGTGTTTGAAGGAGGAAGGTGAGGTGTCATCTCCTGCCCTCCTCTTGCTTGTCTGCCTGCAAGTGAGGTGGGATTGGGGAGGAAGCCCTTAAAGGTGAAAAGCAGGAAATGATAGCAAGGAAGAGAAGGGAGATAGTGGAATTGAGTGACCACTTCCTGGCTCAGCTCTTTTTTGACCATCAGTTTTCTCATTGGAAATGACAAGTATCCCTGGTCTGGTGGCTCAGTTGGTTGGAGTGTCGTCCCATACACCAAAATGTTGTGGGTTCAATTCCCAGTCAGGACACCTACCTAGGTTGTGGGTTCAATCCCTGGTCAGGGTGCATATGGAAGGTAACTGATCAATTTCTCTCTTTCTCTCTCCCCTTCCCCCATCCCCTTCCTCTCTCTCTAAAACCAGTAAACACATTCTTGGATGAGAATTTAAAAAAGAAAGAAAGAAAGACTAAGCAAATAGGTGGTTATGGATGTCAGCGTCACAGGGTGCGTGTGAAGATCAGGGACTGGTTTCTCATGCAGCCTGGCATGTGGTACATGCTCAGTAAACATCGACAAACTCAGGGTTGAAGAATTCCTGGATCTGGTCCTCCTTAACCAACGGACTCAGGAAAATGCTCCTTTTCAGAAAAACTCTGACCTATCAAATCCCAACAAGCCCAGAAGCAGAGACATAAATTGTGTTAACTTGTGTTCTTGATCCTCTGTTTTGGGAGCCAGGAACAAGAAACTGTAATTCACTGCAGCGGACTCTTAAATATTGAATTCCCATATCCCAGTACCCCCTGTGGGGTATATAATAGCTCTTAATGAACACTTCATAATTGTCCCAGATTTCTCAAAATCCTACAGTGGCGATTTCTTTATTCAGTTTCAAACTACCTCACATCTTGCCCTTATTGTTTCCTCTTTCTGTGGGAACAACTCCATTTGAAATAAACTATTTAGATCTTAGGTGACTATTGGTATTTCTTATTGATTTATAGCGCTAACTAGCAATTAGGTAGTTACTGTGTGCTGAGGCTGGTGCCAAGAGCTTTACATGTCATAGCGTATTTAATTGTTACAGCAGTCCCATGAGCTAGGATTATAGTCAGCCCCATTTAACAGGTGAGAAAACTGAGGCATAACTTGCCCAAAGCCATACTGCTGGTAAGAGTTGGAGGCAGGATTTGATTTCCAGAACCTGCTCAGACCCACTCCATTTTGTAGTTGTTTTTTTTTTTTTATTAAAGTTGACAAAACAAATTGTATAAATAAAATGATAGGGTCAAGTCCTTGAGTTTTAAACTACCATGCTTTTCTCTGTTTTGGAATAAGTTAATAAAATTCCCCAATTTGGAATGTTTAGTGTGAGGAATTTTGGTAAATGTATATACAGTTACCACCACCGTAATCAAGATAGAGAACTGTTCCTGTATTCTAAAAGTTCTTTTGTCTCCTTCGCTCTTGATACCCTCCCTCCACGTCTGGCCCCAGGCATCCAAGATCTGCTATCTGTCAGCAGAGCTCCAGGCCTGGGATTTAATCCCAGCTCATCGCTCCCATTTTATAGTCTGAGTACAGTTGGCAGATTTAGGGAATGAAAATACAGGATCCCCAGTGAATTTCAGATGAACAGCAAACACTTTCTTAGTGTAAGTATGTACCAAGCAATACTTGGGACATTTTCATTGGACATTGGATATTTTATCTGGCAACCCTAAGTCCAACACCGAAAGATTGGATGACCTATTCTATTCTAGCCACGTCTCATCTAGATTTTATTTTTCCTATTCCACAGAGGACATGAAACGGCTCAGAATTCTTAATCTGATATAATACAGAGTACTATAAAGAGGGAACCAATATAAAGGTCCCATTTATGTGTGTGTGTATTTGGTGAGTGTAAGTGTATTTCCAGTTGGTTTCCTGGGAAGTTCTGCGTCCCGATAGAATAGAAACTTCATCTTATAGAATTAGCTGACTAATTCATGTACTTAAATATTTACTGAGTTCCTGTTAGATACCATGCACTGTGTTGAATTAAATGAAGACTCAGACTTGAGCGCACGAGATTTTTGGCTGTTAAAATTGGGTTTCTATTTTGTAAATCGGATAACTGAGATTGAGGATAAGTACCTGGCTTGGGAGAGGTGGCCCCGGCTCCTTCTCAGCCGAGCTATGTAGGGGCTAATGCAATAGGATTGAAACTGGCGATGGACTGTTGTGTTTTCAACAGGTTCGTTGTGACCCGAGCCCTTCTAAGGCACTGTAGCCCGGTCCCCAGGCGAGGCCCCCTCAAGGTCTGGTAGTTTGCCCCTCTGCTGATGAATGCTGCCCAACGCCCTGCCCTGTGAACTGCCTGACCTGACCTCTCCCTCTGTGTCTTCGGATGAATAAAGCCAGTGTGATCTATGCTCCTGCCCTTGCCTGCAGCACCCTCTGCAAATGTAACTGGCTCATTTTAGCCAAATGTGATTCTTGCTGCGCACGTGCTACTGAACTCTATGGAAGGATGCTCGCCTCTTTGCAAACACTCTGCCAGCATCAGCCATGGCAACGGGGACGAGCTATGGATGCTGGCGAAGAATCCTGCAGTGGGACAGGAGGGCTGTGAGACCATACGCACTGGTTCCTCCTGGCCTGGTGCAGACCCAGCCTGGCTGCTTCCCCTCTCACCCCCTCGCCCCTCTTCCCTAGCAAACCCTCTATTCACATCATGCTGGCCCATTTGTCACCTGTGCCTGGCTCACGTCCCCCTCCTGAGAAGACCCCTGCTGCTGGCCCACTGGTCAGGGACCAGCCCTTTCTCAAGGTCCACCTCAGGCCTCACCTCCTCTGGGAAGTCCCCCTTGATGGCATGATATGCTTTCTTCTGATTCCTGTGCTATGTCATGTGTAGGCCTTAAGGTGTTCCTTTTTTTTTTTTTCTTTTTTATTCTCACCAGAGTACTTGCTTATTTAGAGAAAAGGGGAAAGGAGGGAGAGAGAGAAAGAAAGGGAGAGAAACATTGATGTGAGAGAGAAATATCAATCAGTTGCCTCTCGTATGCAGTCCAAGGGGGGACCCAACGTGCTACCGAGGCTTGTGCCCTGACTGGGAATTGAACCTGCAGTTTTTCGGCTTGCTGGACCTTGCTCCAACCAAGTGAGCCACACCCGCCAGGGCTCCTGTTCCTCTTTTTGTATGTATATTTTGTCTCCCCTGGTTATTTAGTTGCAAAACCCAAACATTTAAATAAATAAATGAAGGCTGCAGGCATGCATACCCAGCACAGAATCCTGCTGTAGTAGATACTCAACAGGGATTTGGGGAAGAAGGAAAATGAGGGGGAGGAGAATGAAAAAGCAGTGAAAAGACAGTGTCCAGGTCCCCATCACTCATTAGCTTGTAGGACCTTGGTTTAAGTCACTTCATCTCCCTGGGTTTCAGGTTACTCTTGTCAATTTTTCTTGTCAGGGCGGAGGAATGTTGTCAGGTGCCTTGTCAAGGGGGAAGAATGGTACTGTGAGTGGTGACGACGATCATCTACCTCACAGGGCAGTTTTGAAGGATACATAGGATGATATACAAGCTTCAGGCTGATGTTCTTCAGGCAGATTGCTTTTTGAGCTTTGGCTCTTCATTCCAAGAATCTGAAATTTTGATTACAAGGGGACTTGGAAAAGTGGGGAGATTGAGCCAACGGTAGAAACAGGGACG